ATTTTAATCCTGAGCTTATTAATTACATTTTTCCCATCTGAGTCTGTAGACTAATATTGTTACTAAAATATGGAAAGCAGCCTGTGTTCTCCTCTTATTTAAGACTGGGCACCAATTATTGCCAGTGATATATAAACTTTATACCCTGCCAAATTTCAAGAGTCTGAAATAAACACTCACCTGAAACAATATTTGTCTGACTTAAGTCTTAAGTCAAACTAGGTCTGTTCTCAAATTGGGTTTTAGTACCATAATAGCCAGTGTTTTGGTAACAAATGATATTATTAATTCCCTAAGTAGGACAGAGCATTGTGCTGCTATGTTTTTTTCTGATCTTTCAAAGGCATTAGGTTCTGCTTACAATGAGTTGCTGTTAGGCAGATTCAGTGATACTGGTTTGAGTTACAGGGCTTCACTTTATATAGAACACAGTGCCAAACCAAGTTTCCTAAAGAACAGAATACCCCAAGGTTTAGTTTTGGGTCCTGTTTTATTTTCTATTTTTAATTGAGAACATTGGGAAGAATATGCCTCAAGCTAAAGAGCTAACGTGAACCTTTATGCAGATGACACCATCATTTCCTCTTTAGTCATTACGGTGATTTAGGCTGTTTGTGAGTTTCAAACGAGTGATGACTTTTAGGAATTGCGGGCATCACTGAAAGGTTTCAAATTCATTCACAATCCTAAAAAAACTGAGCTCATGTTGGTTTCTAGAAATCGCTTTCAAAGCTTAGACAATGTCGGTCTTTGAACCGTAGGAGAGAAGTATTTGGTTGGATGCCAACTTTCCTTTAGTGCTGAATATTAAGCACTTGGCGAAAAAGCTGAAAGTCAGGCTTGGTTTTTATTGAAATAGGGCCTGTATTAATTGATCAATTAAGAAAACATTTGCATAGGCTATACTCTTAAATGTACTTGGTTATGGTGACATTATTTACATGCATGCTGCCACCTCTGCACTTCATTTTTTACATGATGTGTAGTATTTACACTTTATTGTCTGGTACACATCACTGTGTACTTTATAATCTGCTTCCCTGGCCTTCGTTAACCCTAAGGAGACAACCAGAATTTATGTACAAAGCCATACTGGGTAAATTCCCTTCTTATCTGTGTAAACTCCTAACCCCTTTAAACAGCTGCTATGATTTGCGTTTCTCTTAGTGGCTCCTTTTTAGGGTACTCAGGATTTTTCTGAACTTGGTAGAACAGTATAGGATACAACAGTATCCCGTTTTGCACCTTGGTCTTGGAATAACCTTCAGAGGACAATTAAGCTGAAAGCTTTTATCTCCCTGGGAGACTTCAGAGCACTCATATATGTTCTTCTGTAACCAAAGACTGCAACTGCTATTCATAAACTGAACTTGATATTTTGTATTGCGTTACTTATTGACTTTGACTTGCTTTACTTTGTATAACATGTAAGCATTGATTTTATAATTTCTAATTTTATAATGGTGTGCCTCCTCAGCCAGGTCTCCTTGTTGAAAAAGATGTATTAATCTCAAGGGACCTTCCAATTAAATAAAGGTTAAATAAATAAATAAACACAACAGAAGTGCCTCTGGGAAATCTACCAACACAATGTGGCCGTGTCACTCTGTCAGTTCAAAAAGCTTTTAGTGAAATTTGCTGCTGTGATTTATGTGATGTGGTCTGGCACACATCAGCTCTCTTATCAGCCCTGACTGAAGGACAGCATCTGTAGCTGTGCTTCAACACAAAATGGGCAAACAGCCACACACATTGTTTCTCTCACCTGAAGTCATTGTTCTCTCCTCCTGGCTTCTCAGACTGAAGCTGGCTCTGTGCTGAGCTTCCAGGTGAGGGGGTCTTCTGGGGCTGAGGGCTGAGGCTGGGCTTGAAGCTTAGGCTGGAGGGCAGGTGAGGTGATGGCTGGCGAGGAGGGGGGGGAGGGGGAGGAGGGGATGGTGGTGGTGGTGGAGGAAGGCAGGGGGTGGGGTTCAGGTAAGGCTGGGGGCAATGGGGAGAATGAGGACTGTGAGTAGGCAATGAAGAATCTGTTGGGGAGTGTAGGAGTATGTTTGTACTCTGAGGTCCTGGGATGCAAATAGGGATCAAATCTATCTCGTTGGATGGCTCCACTGAAATTCTGGTTCGCCTTGGTTTATTTCCAAGAGCAGTTGGCCTTGGTCGGCTTATGCATGCCAGTGTTACTGGAGTGGACGCAGGCTTCGTCTGCCCTGACTGCATCTGCTCAGTCCCCCTTTTTGGCATAACGACCACCTGCATGGGATTCAATCCAGACGTTTTCTTGAGCTTTTCCGACTGGCTGCTTAGAGGTGCTTCCTGTGTTTGGAGTTGTGGAGGTAAATCCAGACCAGCTCCAATTAATGAACAGTTTCCAGGCTGTACTTTATGGCCACAAGGGTCCGTGCCAACTTGTTTCTGCGGCAGGCGATCCATCAACCTGTAACATCGTGTTTATGACATTTTTCTTAATGGTGTTTAAAGGAAAAAGAAATCACAGTGATTCTGCTTGCAGAATGTAAAAAAGGCACAAAATTGCAACATTGCTTGTCAGCACACAATTGGAAGAGCAAAAGAAGTGCCTGCAGTGAGTGGAAAATGAGAAAGAGTATTACATTATTTTGAGTACCTGTCCACATCATCCTCCCTTGGCATCACTGATGATGTTATCATGACTAGGCAACTGGGCTAAGGAACTAACTTTAGGCCTGCTGCGTCCTGGATTACACCCTAGCTGCTAAGCACAGTTAATTAGCCCCTGACCCTCTTACAAAGCAAAAGAAAAGATTGTTAGTAGTTATTTAGATAAGGAATAGGGCTGTAATGTGCTTTTAGAGCACACTGCTTTTTGTAATCTCTCACTTTAACATTTGAGTTCAGTCAGAAGGGAAGCAAAGGGGATCGGACACAGCTGCAGATAATGAAGCACATCAGGCAATGTCAACAGATGCTGTGGGTCACAAGCGTAGGTGTCAGTTCCGCTTGAATATTCAGGAGGGGACACATTAACCTGGGGTACGTGTTAGTCCCCTAGGAAATTTGAAGCATTGTACACTTCATTTCCTGCATTCTGGTGATTTTAATGCTCCAATTTGTTTCTTTCTGTTTAGAAATGTCAAAACTAACCCCACAAATAACAATTTACAACAGCCTCCTGGAATATAATGCAGTGAGTCTTTCAGGCTCTTTGTCTCAATTTTGTATATATAT